CCCAAGCACAAAAGTCTCAAAGTAAAAAAAACTAGTGGCCCATTAAGGCCCAAAAAGCCCAAAACAGCGTCTCACATCGTGACCAATCATTGGTCATGTCGTGAGACGTGTCCGCTACGATATCGGGACTCGCTCCTGACTCAGACGACTCAGCGGGGACAGTGACTCATGCTCACGTCGTGAGACCTTATGTCTCACGTTGTGAGAACGGTCTGAAGCCAAAACCACCTTTTCAACGTTCTTAATCCATCCAACCCTCAATTCTAACCCTTCTAGAAAGCTAAAGGGGACCCTAATAGTCCATAAGAATGCTTGATTTATGGATTTTCATGCACCATGCATATCCCTCCATCCTTGTGGGTCAAAAGTAGCAAATTGGTCTCAAACTCACATGCAAGCCTCTAATACTACACCAACTTCCAGATCTGAAAGATATAAGACTCAAAAGGCCATTTGAATCCATAAAGTCGCTAACTTGATGAATCTACTCCACTCCAATCAATCCAAAACATAAGAAAATGGGACCAAAGCCTAGATCTATCCATGAAATGAAGTAAAGCTTGAGTCTTGATACTTACAATGGTCTAAACAAGATGAGAGCTGATAAAGATGATGAATCCAAGAAACTTCCTTCCCAAGATGCTTCTTCTTCTCTCATTTTCCTTCCTTTCCACAAGCAAAATCACCAAATATCTCAAGGTGAATTAAAATCTAGGGTTTCCAGAGACTTAGAGGGTGAGAGAGGTTGAGGATGGGTAACCCTAGCCTCTCATTCCCTTAAATACCCGAAAATTAGGGTTTGGGTCATTAAGCTCACGTCATGAGACCTTATGTCTCATGTCGTGAGACTCCAAAATACGGGTCAACGGTCACTCACGACGTGACCCCGAAGATCTCACGTCGTGAGGACTCCCAAAAATGCAATAAATGAATGAATTTAGAGCCTTAGGGTTCCGGATGTTACACACAACCTTGTTGTGCAAGGTCATCGTCTTCCTGTCCAGAATAACAACCGGTTTCTCCAAATAGTTCAGGCACTCATGAACCTAAATGTTATCCAAGGATACTACTGTGTAATCATCAGCCAAACACTTTTGCAACTAAGAGACATGAATTGTGTTATGAATTCGGCTAAGCACGACAGGTAGATCCAAACGATACACAACCTTGCCCACTTGGGTGACAATCCTGAAAGGTCCAATAAACCTGGGGCTCAACTTGCCCTGCTTCTGAAACCGAATGACACCATTCCAAGGTAACACCTTAGAAGCATGAGATCTCCCACCTAAAAATCAAGGTCAGAACGGCGTGGGTCAACATAACTCTTCTGCCTACTCTATATAGTCTACAACCTATCCCGCACCTGATGAATCAACTTCGTGGTCTTGAGCACTACTTTAGTGCTCCTCATCACTCACTGGTGAACTCTCCTGACTTGGGATAAAGTGGGTGCTCTTGGTCAATCTGTAAACAATAATCCATATAGAATCAACCCTGCGTTTTATCCTTGGCAACTTTGTCATGAAGTCTATAGTGATCTCCTCCCATTTCTACATGGGAATAGGTAATGGTTGCATCCTGTCGTGAGGTCTCTAATGTCCGGCATTGTATTTTCGGCAAGTCAAGTACCGCTCTACGTACCACACTATCTCCCTCTTCATAAAGGGTCACGAATAGCTCAGTCTCAGGTCTCTATACATCTTCGTGACCTTTGGATGGATTGAAAAGCTTCCTCCAAAAAATCTGTCTAACCCCACCAGCAGCAGAAACGCATAGCCTGCCACAGTAAGTCAATACATCCCGACTATCTCAACTTAAAATGGACATAACCTTTGATATGTAAGAAATTTGGATACATGCGATATATACATGGTCAGTCGATCCTCAAATTCCACTGTGTAGGCCCTTAAATCTCAAATTTTCTTAATTTTTCGCTAAATTTTCATTTTTATTTTATTCTAATGATAAAATATTCGTTTCATTATTTTTTGAAATTATCTCTCTTGTAGGAAGTTAATTAGTAAAATTTATTATTGATTTCAGTTTTACAAATTTGGGCGTACCTCACAAATTTAGTCTTGCTCTGTTAAAATTTATCATCACCTTTTATAAAAGGTCCTTTGTAAGCTTTTAAATGTATCTTGATTTACAGTAATAAAATAACTTTGAGTTTTCCTCTATTCTTGCTTTTGTTCTCCATCAATCGCCACATAAGCATTATCATGAGATGACTGCTTCAGATTTTCAATAATTGACATCCTTTTTACACGTTTAAGACTTATCGTATAAAAAATAATTTTAATTGAGATAAATGCAATGACTTTAGTATTACGTTTAATTTATTAATGTCTAGTGACGTCAGATGCATGGAAAATCCATGCATGTCTTATAAATAAATTCAATCTTAGACATAAATTCATCTCATACAGCCTCGTGACACAGCAAAGCCTCGTGACACAGCAAGAAAAACGACCATTGGGACGACATTATTTGCGACGACAGGAGGCATTTGGGACGACATAAGACAAACACAGGACTGGCGTCGCTATTGGGTCGGCGTCTCCGCTAATAGCGTCGTCGCTAATGATAACAACCGACGATCCAACGAACGTACGCTACACTCAATCGTGGCCGTACATTTCCCACAAGATCCAACGGTCATGATTGCTTCTCGCCCAGTTAATTGGGACGACACCTTTTGTGGCGACAATATCGCCGCTATTAGAAGCGATCCGTGTGACACTCTTAAGAAGCAATCTTGGCCCTATGTTATCGAGCAGATCGCAAAAATCACCAAAAAATGGTGCCATGGTTCCCTCCAACGTGTCGTCACTATTTGTCCGCGGTCGCCGCCAAAGGCGTCGCCACAAAAGGTTCTTATCTTTTGTTCGCCTCCGTCCCAGATTAGTTACTCCATGAAATCTTCGACGTACACCAACGATTTTGTGATTCCTCCGGCGAATTTTCGGCCTTTTTTCAGCTTGGAACTTCTCCGACTTGCCTCCACCACCCACTCGTCCATTTTTGTCGACAGTGCTTCGATTTCTGCTGATTCCGACATCAATTTCCGGCCAATAGCTTGACTTCTGACGACTCCTACGACAGTATGGCCTCCTTTCTCTTTCTATCACGATTCTGACCTCGATTCCTTTATTGATTTCTTGAGTATTCCCTGTTTAAGCACCACAAAAGCCACCACCGTTTTGTCGAGCTTTTTTCTGGCGACCACCACCAACACAGACCCACCACCACCACTGTTTTGTTCTCCGGCCACATATATTTGTTAATTAATTTTAAATATGTATTATATATGCATGTGTTTGTATTTGGTATTGAATTGGTATATATATATATATATATATATATA